TTATTTTTTTTTCTAGCCTTTATTTAGTGGCATAACTTCCAGAGTGTTGGCTGAGCCATCACTCAGGGTGCCCAGAGCGGGCTCAGCTCTGAGGCTGACCAGCAGAGGGCGACCTTCACCTCGTCCTGTCTGCAGGCTGCCGAAGGCTGCTGGGTCTTGGGGCTGGGTTCTTCACAACTTCTTCCCACACTCCGTCTTTCTTAAAGACTTATTTTGGGGGCTGGAGCTGCGGTACAACAGGTGAAGCTACCACCTGCAGCACTGGCATCCTATACGGGCTCCAGCTCCAGTTCCCGCTACTCTGTGTCAGATCCAGCTCCCTGCTGTGGCCTGGGAAAGCAGCAGAAGATGGCCCCTGCACCCACGTGGGAGACCCGGATGAAGCCCCTAGCCCCTGGCTTCCATTGTGGCCATCTGGGGAGTGAATCAGTGGATGGAAGATCTCTCTCTCTCTCTCTCTCTCTGCCTTTCCCTCACTTTGTCACTCTGCCCCTTCAAATAAATAAATATTTTTTATTTATTATAAATATTATTTATCTGAAAAGTGCAGAGTGCAGAGAGGGAAAGACAGAGACAGAGAGATGGGTCTTCCATCTGCTGGTTCACTTCCCAGATGGCCACAACAATTGGGGCTGGGCCAGGCCAAAGTCAAGAGCTTGGAGCTTCTTCCAGGTCTCCCACATGGATACAGGGATCCATGAACTTGGGCCATCTTCTGCTGCTTTCCCAGGCACATTAGTAGGGAGTGGGATGGGAAGTGGAACAGCTGTGACTTTGACCAGCGCTCTTATGGGGCACCGTCGCTGGAGGCAGTTCCTTAACCAGCTGCACCGCAACACCATCCCCCAACCCCCTTCTTAAAGCAGATCGCCTCTCCCAGTGGATCTCAGCAGTGGGAGGAGGACTGGTCTGCGAGGAGAGGCCAGAGCCCATCACAGGTCAGCTCACGTTGAGTCTGGAAACGCAGGCGCCACCTGCTCTCCAGGGAGCCCAGCAAACGCGGCAGGTTCCTCCAGGAATCCAAGGGATCGCTGCCGTCAGAGGCACCTTTTTTTTTTTTTAAGATTTATTTATTTATTTGAAATTCAGAGTTACACAGAGAGAAAGAGGGGCAGAGAGAGACAGAGAGAGAGAGAGAGAGAGAGAGGTCTTCCATCTGCTGGTTCACTCTCCAGATGGCCGCAATGGCTGGAGCTGCACCAGGTGCCAGGAGCTTCTTCCAGGTCTCCCACCTGGTTGCAGGGGCCCAAAACCTTAGGCTATCTTCCACTGCTTTCTCAGGCCACAGCAGAGAGCTGGATTGGAAGTGGAGCAGCCAGGACTCAAACCAGCACCCATACAGGATGCCAGCACTGCAGGTGGCGGCTTTACCTGCTACACCACAAGCGCTGGCCCCCAGAGGTGCCTCTTTAAACCACAGCCAAAGAACAGTGGGCAGCCAATTATTTTGCTACAATAAATGCAACTCAATTTCTGTCTACATCAGCTGACACACACCAGAGGAAGCCAGCTCAGCCCCACGCCCCCAGGATTTTTCCGTCTGTGTCGTGAGACCGTGACAGTGATCCTGGTGTCGTTTACCCAGCACCAGGAGCCTGAAGCTGCACCTGCATTTTTATCCCGGAATCGCCACAACAGCCCTGTGGGGTAGGTGGTTTGCAGACAGGGGAAAGGAGCTCTGAGCGGGTCAGGAATTTACCTGAAGCCACAGAGCCAGAAATGGCCTAAAGGGATCCAGACCCAGGGTCTGTCTCCAAATCCTGCCAGCTTCCTGAAGTCACAGCTGGCTTCAAATCAGATCCTTGTGCCCACGCTGTGGCTTACTAGGCTAATCCTCCACCTTGCGGCACCGGCACACCGGGTTCTAGTCCCGGTCGGGGCGCCGGATTCTGTCCCGGTTGCCCCTCTTCCAGGCCAGCTCTCTGCTATAGCCAGGGAGGGCAGTGGAGGATGGCCCAAGTGCCTGGGCCCTGCACCCCATGGGAGACCAGGATAAGTACCTGGCTCCTGCCATCGGATCAGCGCGGTGCGCCGGCTGCAGCGCGCCAGCCGCGGCGGCCATTGGAGGGTGAACCAACGGCAAAGGAAGACCTTTCTCTCTGTCTTTATCTCACTGTCCACTCTGCCTGTCAAAAAAAAAAAAAAAAAAATCAGATCCTTGTCTCCTTTGGCCAGACCGGAGGTGAAACTGCCTGCTGTCTGTCTCTTGTGATCCTTTTCCTTTGTTCTTCCCACTCCATGGTCCCTGCGGGGAGACCACGTCCCGAGAGTGTCCAGCGAGGGAAGCTGAGTTATTTTTAAACCTGCTGAGTTGACGATAAATCAAAATCTCGGAAAACTTGGACTGGAGGAGGAACTTTCTCCACTTGATAAACAGCATCTTCAAAAAACCTTCAGTCCACATCATGCTCGGGGCAGGCGCTGTGGCGTAGTGGGCTAAGTCCTCCCCTGCAGTGCCGGCATCCCATATGGACTCTGGTTCGAGTCCCAGCTGCTCCACTTCCAATCCAGCTCTCTGCTATGGCCTGGGAAAGCAGTAGAAGATGGCCCAAGTCCTTGGGCCCCTGCACCCACGTGGGAGACCTAGAAGAAGCTCCTGGCTCCTGGCTTCATATTGGCCCAGCTCCAGCCTTTGCAGCTATTTGGGGAGTGAACCAGCAGATAGAAGACCTCTCTCTCTGTTTCCTTCTCACTGTCTGTAATTCTACCTCTCAAATAAATAATAAAAATAAAATATTTTTAAATCCTGCTTAATGGCAATAGACTGAATAGTTTCCCCCTAAAATCAGAGGCAAGGTGAATGTCGGGATTTAGACCGCTGGCCCCAGTCAACAGAAGCCTGGAGGTCCTAGCCAATGCACTAGCACCAGAAAAGGAGACTAAGGGCTTGCCGATCAGAAAGGGAGAGAGAGAACTCTTCTTCTTAGTAGATACATGGTTATTTATATACAAAATTCCAAGAAACTGACTAAAGAAAAACCTTCTAGAAAGTTCTTAATGTTGCAAGATACCATGTTAGTACACAAAAATCAGCTAAATTGCTATATGCTGGCAATGACCAGGTAGACACCAAAGTCAAAAGTATGATACCACTTATCATCACTAACCAAAAATACCTTTAAGTGCAAATCTTAAACACACACACACACACACACACACAGACCTTGTATGTTAAAAGCTGTAAGAAAGTCATGAAAGGAATCAAAGGCATAAATACTGAGAGAAACAGATCATGTTCATCAATTGGAAGACAGGGGACAGCGCTGTGGTGTAGCAGGTAAAACCACCATCTGCAGCGCCCGCATCCCTTGTGGGCACTTGTTCAAGTCCTGGCTGCTCCACTTCCAATCCAGCTCCCTGTCACTGTGCCTGGGAAAGCAGCAGAACATGGCCCAAGTGCCCGAGCCCTGCACCCATATGGGAGACCTGGATGGAGTTCCTAGCTTTGGCCTGGCCCAGCATTGGCTGTTGCAGCCATTTGGGGAGTGTATAAGTACATGGAAAATCTCTTTCTCTCCCTCTGTCTCTGTCTCTAACTCCGCCTTTCAAATAAATAAATAAATCTAAAAATAAACAAGAAATAATAAGCAACTCAAAAGGCCTGTGTAGAACTCTCTGCAGGACACCAGGTAGAGATGGAGAACTGATGAGTGGTTGCCAGGGGTTACCTGGTGGTGGGGCTGTTGTCATCATAGAGGGTACCACAAGGAAGACCTCTGATGCTAGAACAGTTTTGTGTCTTTGTGTCTGTGTATGTGAGAGAGATTTGGGGTCATTTTCTTTGTAGAAATCAAGACACAAAACTGTTCTACAAAGAAAATGACCCCAAATCTCTCTCACATACACAGACACACAGACACAGACACAGACACACACACACAGACACAAACACACACACAGAGAGACACACACAGACACACATAGACACACACATACACACTCATGGCACCACGGTCACTTCCTGCTTAGGTTGTCGTCCGTGTTACCACTGGGGGAACTACACAAAGCGTGCACGCGATCTGCCCTATTATTTTGAGAACTTCTTGCGATTCTCTAATTCTTTTAGAATAAAGCATTTAAAACGCTGAGCGAGGCCTGGCCTGTTTTCGCAGCCTTTCTCTTTCCACTTCATTATTTTAATCCCATTCAATGTTAGAAAGGCTCCACCCGCTGTCTTTATTACTCCTCTCCTCCTTCCTGGGTGGTCAGGAGTTGAGGCTTTGGCCCAAACCACAGCTGAATCAGGATGAAATGGAAGGAGAGGGCGTGTGGCCGAGCCCGGGGCCGGCCCCCTCTACTGCCTGCAGCTCTGGGCTCCCAGGGGCTCCCAGCAGTCCCCAGAGCTTTGGACAGGGGGACGCTCTTGGGGAGGGGGTGGTGGGAGGGACATCTGGATCCGCTCAGCCAAGGTGGGGGGGTCTTCCCCCTGCACTGCGCTCAGCTCCACTGCTTCCCCGGGGACACGCGGCTCACTCAGTGATCGGGCACTGGGGGCTCAGCTCATCTCAGACGAAGGGGCCGTGTGCCAGATGTGCCCACTGCACCTCGTGGGGCGGGTGCGGGATGCAGCAGGGCAAGGCGCTGGCTGCGATGCCCACCCCCATCACAGAGTACCACTTCAGGGTGCTGGCTGCGATGCCCGCCCCCCATGGAGAAGTACCACTTCAAGTCTCGCTACCCTGAGCTTCTGATCCAGCTCCCTGCTACTGCACGCACCCCCTGGAGGCAGCAGGTGACGGCTCCAGTACTTGGCCCCTGCCACCCTCATGGGAGACCAGGACAGAGCTGCTGGATCCTGGTTTCAGCCTGGCCTGGCCCTGGCCTTTGCAGCCATCAGGGAGTGAGCCAGCAGATGGAAGATCTCTCTCTGTGTCACTCTGCCTTTCAAATCAATCAATCAATCTTAAAAAAGGGGGGGGGGACTCAGTTCCACAGCGCACTAAGGACCTCTGGAGGGGCCGGGGTGAGGAGGGGTGGGGACGCGGGGCACGAGTTCTTACCTGCAAAACAAGGTCGGAGTCCTCATGCCGTCCGATTGTGGTGCTTTTGTTCAGGACAAAGAAGCCTTCTGCGCTCTTCAGATAGGCTTTCATTCTCTCCGCGTTCCCTGCACAAAGTTTTCAGAAGGAATTTTGTTAGAAAAATGCAGTCCTCCAATCAGTCAACGACATCATGTTTAGAATGAATGAAACCTTTCATCCCCAGTCCACGCCCAAAGGGAGAAACCAGCAGAGCGGGGAGTGGACAGATGGCCTTGACCCTGACCACAAGGGCGGTCCTGCCTGCCTCCACAGCTATTTCTTCTGGGGGCCAGCATCGTGGTGTTGTAGGTTAGGCTGCCGACTATGACACTGGCATCCTGCGTCAGAGCCTGGGTTCGAGTCCTGGCTGCTCCACTTCCAGCCCAGTTTCCTGCTAATCCTCCTGGGAAGGCCGTGGAAGACGAATCAAGTGCCTGAGCCCTTGCAACCCACGTGGGAGACCTGGATGGAGTCCTGGCTTTGGCCTGGCCCTGCCCTGACTGTGGACCTTGTGAGGACTGAACCAGTGCATGGAAGATCTCGCCCTCTCTCTCTGCCACTCTACCTTTCAAATACATAAAATACAGGCCGGCGCCGCGGCTCACTAGGCTAATCCTCCACCTGCAGTGCCAGTACCCCGGGTTCTAGTCCCGGTTGGGGCGCCGGATTCTGTCCTGGTTGCTCCTCTTCCAGGCCAGCTCTCTGCTGTGGCCCAGGAAGTCAGTGGAGGATGGCCCAGGTGCTTGGGCCCTGCACCCTATGGGAGACCAGGAGGAAGCACCTGGCTCCTGGCTTCGGATCGGTGCAGTGCGCCAGCCGTGGCGGCCATTTTGGGGGGTGGACCAACAGAAGGAAGACCTTTCTCTCTGTCTCTCTCTCTCACTAACTCTGCCTGCAAAACAAACAAACAAAAAAAGAAAGAAAAGAAATCAAATACATAAAATACAGCTATAAACGAATCCCGTCTTTCCTTAGAGTATGGTTCTAAGGTTCCAATAGAAGACATTTCTTCATTTCCTAGGGCCCAAACAAACACAAGCTAAAACAACTCAACAACAAAGCTGAGGGTCACTGATAACTGCTATCTACTTCCCAGCAGGCTTGGTATGGGGTTAGCTATCTGACGTATCAAGTATTCGTGTTCAATATCCCTCACTGGCCATGCGCTCGCTCTGTGGCCTTGGTGGGCTACTTAATTTCTCCCTGCGCTTCAGTTTCCTCCTCTGTGAGCTCAAATGCAACAACACACGCGGAGATTCCAGAAGCGTGCCCAGCGCACGGCGGTTCTGCTTCTACTGTTAACCTGGGCTTCTCAAACTCTCAGCACTCTCCAAGGAACACCAAACTTTTACAGCACATCTTAAAGTGCCAAGGGTCGGTCTTCGAAGAAGCAGGCACGAGATAACAGTCTCTTTTAAGTCACCACCTCTCGTCATGTATTTAGGCTGGGGAAGTTTTTCTAAAGGCGGGGACAAGAGGATAGCTTGGCCGGGCCACAGGGGCCTGTACATATTTGCCCTCAACATTTTATGGAGAACATGTCAAAGCTGTGGAAAGCTGGAAGGAACTAGGTGGGAAATCTCTCTCCATCCACAGCCTCGTCGGCGCAATGGAAATTTTTGTCTATTTTCTTTGTCACATAGCCATTCACTCACGCGTGCATCTTATATTTGACGCACTTCAAACTGAGTTCTCGGTCTCTTTTCTACCTAAAACTCATGGAAGGCGACGTCACTGAACTGTGGGTAAACACAGCCGCCATGGCTGAGTGACCGGCCGGGCTCTCAGGGCTGCACCTGCCCCTCCTTGTCACCTCTGCCATCACTCGCCCAGGGCAGTGTCGGGCACCGTGCCATCCTGTGGCTCCTGCAAAGCAGGCCTCGTTACTGTGCCCATTCTACAGAGGGGGAAGCTGAGGCTCCTGGAAGCCGAGCTCACCTGGAGGCAGGAGGCCGCAGAGCACACGGGGGCCTTGGCCGGGAAACCCTTGGGCACCTCAGCTTCTCCCCTGGGTAGGGCAGAGATGGGGCGAGCAGGGAGGGAGACACAGAGGGCAGGGCGCCCGGTTCGAAGACACTTGGCAATGACAGAACGTCCTTGAAGCCAGGAGTCCATCCTCAAAAGGAAGAGGCCCTCCCGGCTGCCACGGTTTGAATCACTCGTTGGGCCCTGCATCCCTCCACACAGGTGGGGCCAGGTGGGAGGGGTTTGGGTCACGGGGTGCAGCCCTCACGCTGGTGAGTGAGTTCTGCCTCTGGTGGGACTGGATTAGTTGGAGCAAAGCAGGCTGGTAGAAAGCAAGCCCCGCCCTGCGCCCTGCCCCAGGCCGACACTCTTAGACTCAGCTGCCTGCTCCCGCACTTCTCACCCGTGAGCCAGAAATGAGGCTCTGTCCTTTATACATTACCCTTGGTCCTAGACACGGAACAAGACCGGGTATTTACGTGTGTAAGCTCCGAGGCCCATCGCCAGACACTTGCATGAGGACAGAAACAGAATGAGCGGCTAAGTTGGTTGTCATTAATGGGGGAGGGGGAAGCATTTCCAAAAGGACCACGCCCCAGCAGACGGCTTGGATCGTTCACCTGCAGCCGACAGGACCACAGCCAAGCCTACGTCACCTCCAGGGAGACCTGAGAGCGTGTCTCTTCCAGGGAGCACCACAGGGGATGCCCTGGAACTCACACCCCACACTCATGATTCGCTTGCGAGTTTCTCACCCCGACCACTCTGGCTAAACGCAGCCCCGTCACTGCATTCTGGAGCCGGCCTAGCTCACTCGGGCATCCTCCCTCATTCTCGACTTCCTCTGCCACTGTCCTGTTCCTTTAAAGATTTGTTTATTATTCATTCGAAAGGTATAGGGACAGAAGGGGGAGGGAGAAAGGGAGAGGGAGAGAGAGAGAGGGAGAGAGAGAGAGCGAGAGAGCTTCCATCTATTGGTTCCCTCCCCAAATGGTCCCAACAGCCAGGGTTGGGCCAGGCTGAAGCCAGGAGCCCAGAACTCCATGTGGGTCTCCCATGTGGGTGTGGGGTCCACACACTTGGGTCAGCCTCTGCTGCCTTCCCAAGCGCATTAACAGGAAGCTGGATCAGAAGCAGAGCAGCCAGGACATGGACCAGTGCTCTGACATGGGATGCTGGTGTCCCAAGCGATGGCTTCACCCAGGACGCCACAGTGCTAGCCCCTCACGTTCCTTCAGTTAGGAATGAACTTGCTGTTACTTTCCTTTTCACTATGATGTATGAGGGTACTTCAAAAGGCTCACAGAGGGGCCGGTGCTGTGGCGTAATGGCTAAAGCGGCCATCTGCAGCATCGGCATCCCACGTGGGTGCCAGTTCAAGTCCGGGCTGCTCCACTTCCAATCCAGCTCCCCGCTAATATACCTGGGAAAGCAGTGGAGGATGGCCCAATTGGGCCCCTGTACCCACACGGGAGACCCAGAAGAAGCTCCTGGCTGTTGGCTCCGATTGGCCCAGCTCACTGGGGCTATTCGGGAGTGAACTAGGGAATGGAAGCTCGCTCTTTCTCTGTCTCGCTCCCTCTCTCTGTTACTCTGCTTTCAAATAAATAAATACATCTTTTAAAAAAAGTTCATAGAAAATGGACTCACATTTTACAATTCATTTTGTTTATTGTGGTGCAAAAAAGTTTGAAATCCATGCACATTTTTCACAGTATGCATTTTTATGAAGATTTAAATTTAAATGTATTAAAAGATTTATTTATCTATTTATTTATTTATTTGAGAGGCAGAGAGAGGTCTTCCATCCACTGATTCACTCCCTACATGGCCACAGTGGCCAGAGCTGGGCTGATCCGAAGCCAGGAGCTTCTTCCAGGTCTCCCACGTGGGATGCTAGTGCCAAAGGTGGAGACTTAACCTACTACGCCACAGTGCCGGCCCCTTTCACGAACTTCTTGAAGACCCTACTATACACATAGATCTCAAAATCCTTGCACCAAATAAACTTCTTTTATTTTAAAAAAATATATTTATTTACTTGAAAGGCATAGTTACAGAGAGGCAGAGAGAGAGAGAGAGAGAAAAAGAGAGAAAGAGAGAATCAATTGATCTTCCATTTGCTGGTTCACTCCCCAAATGGCTGCAACAGCCAGAGCTGGGCTGATCCGAAGCCAGGAGCCAGGAGCTTCTTCCAGGTCTCCCACGCAGGTGCAGGGGCCCAAGGACTTGGGCCATCTTCTGCTGCTTCCCAGACCATAGCTGAGAGCTGGATTGGAAGTGGAGCAGCCGGGACTCGAACCAGCACCCACATGGGATGTCGGCACTGCAGGCGGTGACTTCCGTTATGCCACAGCACCGGCCCCCAACAAACATCTTTTAAAAATGTATTTAGTTGAGAGTCACAGGCAGATGAACAGATGGACATGCAGAGCTCCCATTAGCTAGTTCATTCTTCAAACACCTGAAACAGCCCAGGATCAGCCGAAGCCGGAAGCTGGTCTCACTCCAGGTATCCTCACGGTGACGGGAACCCAACCAGGTGCGTCCCCACCGCTGCCTCCACAGAGCTGCATGAGCAGGAAGCCGGCGCAAGGAGCTGAGCCCAGGAGCCCAGACGTGGGCCGTGGGAGTCCAACCAGCTAAGCATATCTTTTAATGCCATTTTTTCATGCACTTTCCCAAGCACCCTGGGATGTCCCGGGAGAGCCAGGGCTTTCGTCAAGAGACAGTTCCCCGTGGGCTTCTATCGGTACCCATCCCGATGCCACAGCACTGAGGGTTTTGTTCCAGAAGATCTTTCCTAGGACTTGGGTGTGGCCAGCAGCCTGTGGGGACAGAGGCGGGCGGCCCCATCTAGGGCAGAGGGCGGGCTCCTTTAAAACAGACGGTGCCTCCTTCCAGGGCGCGAGTGCTGCGGGTTCGCGGCCTGTCCCTTTAAAAGATGCGGTCTTCCTGGGTTTGGGCTCCTTAGCCTCACTGTGTGCAAGGCATCCACCTGCCTGTTCTGTGTCCCCGGAGGGGTTTGTGGGGCCAGGAGAAGCTCCGTGAACACCTTGTAACGAAGGCCTTTGTCTCTGGCCCAGGGGTTCCGGTCTTCTGCCGGCTTCTGCTAAGCTGAGCGGCTCCTGTGCTGGCTTGAACTAGGAGAACCTCCCAGGCCCTGGCAGTCCCTACCGAGTGTCCCTCACTCCACCTCTGGCCCTGGGGACCGCTGCACCTGCCGCCTCCCAGGTGCTCAGTACCTACCTGCAGAATGAACACACAGCGCAGTGCCCTAGGGTGAGCCCTGCACTGGTAGCCCTTGACCGTAGCCGCCTATCACCTTCCCCTGCAGGGTCCACGTTGGTGCCCTTCTGGGAAACTCCCAGTGCACCTGCTCAGCGGTCTGGGTGGGGCCCGATATCTCCACTTTAGCGGTGCCCTTGCAGCCTCCTGCCTGCCTACACACACTCTAGGAAGTAGTCCCAGCGGATGAAACTCTACAGCAGTTCTTCCCCAAGGCTACAGAGCACCTGGAGACCACAAGAGAGCCCTCCCGGCTACAGGTGCGCCGGCGCTGAGCGGGGGAAGCAGGATTCCCGTCCACGGCTTCGTAAGTGGCCCGAGAGGGAGCGGTCAGGCCAGGGGATCTCCCCGACCGCCGCCGCGTGGATGTCACCCGGAAATCAGGGGCAGCAGAGGGCGCCCCTTCTAATCCCAGCCGTGTCCCTGGGGACATCCCAGAGGGACCTGTGCTCCCTCTCCAGCCAGCTCAGGGCCAGGCGCGGGCTGCGCTTAGGGGAGAGGCGGGTGTTGGCGCACAGCCCCGAGCCAGGGCCAAGAGGATGTGGCCAGGGACCACCTCTGTCCGTCTCCTCCCCCGAGCCCTGTCCTCGCGGAGCCAGCCCGGCCCGGTGCTCCACATCCCCTCGCCGCCCCTCCCCGGGCCGCACTCACCTGGCGGGAGCAGGAAGCCCACGCCCGGTCCTCCGCAGAGCGCCCCGCCAGCTCGGCAGGCGCTGGCCCCCTTCGGGCCGAGGCCGCCCGGCCGCGCTCCCGCGGAGTCTCCAGCCGGCGACCCGCACCTCGCGCGTCCGCCGGCCTGTGTACGCGCGTCGCCATGGCAACGCCGCGGGGCCGGGCCGAGCAGGTGAGGGGCGTGGCCTGCGTGGGGCCGCGCGGGGGAGCACCTGCCGCGCGCCGCAGCCGACCCCTCCCCTCCGGCCTGTCCCATTCCCCAGATGGGGAAACCGAGGCTCAGAGGCCCCAGCAGTGGTCCCAGGACGGGGCACAGAGGAGGTTTGGCTCAGGAACCCTTATTCGCCGTGCCCTGGAACCAGTATGCGGGTGGCTGAATCCAGTCCTCTCGGTTGTAAATGGCTGCGGGGCCACCGCCCTGGGCGGGTGCGGGGATTGGGGAGTGGTCTGTTCAGAACCCTTGAGGGTTTCGGCCTCCTGCTGGGGAGGGGGCTATTTCCAGCCCCCTGCCCTGCGCTCAGCCCTCTGCTTGCTTTATGTCTGCTGGCCTCCCCCGGGTCCCCGGCTGTGCCTTCCATCCATCACCAGCGGCCTGATTGCAGGCCACCCCGGGGCCAGCGTCTTCTGGCCACGGCCTCCTGGTGCTGGCTGCTACGGATGGACGGTGGACGGTCGCCGAAGTCCATTTGGGGTGGGATGTTTGCTCAAAATGCCCAGACCCGCTGGGAGGGTTTAGAGATGAGGTCTTGGCACAGACCCCAGCGTTGGGAGTGCGCGCCCCTGGAGAGTGGCCCAGAGTGAGCATTTGCAAAGCTCGGCGGAACCCCCTGTTGATGCGGTTGGGCTGTGGGGACCCTCAGGAGCCTGAGCCAGAAGTCTCTTCCCCGTGACCACAAAGCCGCTAGACAGAAAGCCCCAGGAGTGACCAAGCGCTTGGGCCCTGCACCCGCATGGGAGACCAGGAGGAAGCACCTGGCTCCTGGCTTCGGATCGGCACAGCTCCAGCCGTAGCGGCCACTTGCGGGGGTGAACCAATGGAAGGAAGACCTTTCTCTCTGTCTCTGTCTCTCTCTCTCTCACTGTCTAACTCGACCTGTCAAATAAATAAATAAATAAAATCTCTAAAAAAAAAATAAAGCCTAGCCTAAGAAACAACAACAAAAAGAGAAATTTTTAAAAAATCTTGGAGTCCAGCGTTGTGGCGCAGTGGGTTAAGCCACCGGCTGTGAGGCTGGCTTCCCATACAGGTGCAGGTCTGAGTCCCGGCTGCTCCACTTCCAGTCCAGCTCCCTGCCTTTGCACCTGGGAAGGCAGCAGAAGACGGCCCACGTGCCCGGGGCCCTGCACCCGTGAGAGAGCTGCAGATGGCACTCCCGGCTCCCGGCTTCAGCCTGGCCCAGCCCCAGCTGCTGCAGCATCTGGGGAGTGAGCCAGTGGGTGGAAGACCTCGCTCTCTGACTCCCCTGGCTTCCTTGAGCTTTGCCGGAGCCCTGTGTGCTTGTTCTACCTGAAAACTGTGGGCACGGAGTGCCCGTGCCGCCGTTGGGGGGCTGGGCTTTTATTGTCTGTGTCTCACTTCCCTGTTCTGTAAAATGGGGGCCACGCAGGCAGACTGTGGGTTCGAGGGGTGCATAGGAAGCCGTCCCTCGTGCCTGCTCTCTTGAGTGCCTGCGTTATGCCCCGGGAGGATTCCCCAATCGCACCCTGGGCTACATCAACTCAGCCCAGAGCCACCTGTTGCCTGGACAGCCCCGCATCATCCGGCCGCTGCCCGAGGACCCTCCCGGCTGTGGCTACAGTGACGGGCTGGGCTCCCTGCCCTGCTGGACAGCGCCGTCGGTCTCCTTCCAGCCCGTTTGGATGACCTCATCCTGAGTCACCTCCTGGAGGTTCCCAGCTCTTTCTATCATTTCCTTTCTCATCTCCACCGACTCCTCTCACCACATCCTTCCCCCTTCTCTCCCGAGCAGGGCCGCCTCGCGCCTCTCTCCACGTCTCTGCTCTGTTCCTGGAATCCGTTCGTTCCGTGCAAGCACGGCCAAGCCCTGTGCCTTCCTCGCTGCCCTCGGCACAGGCTCCGTCTCCCGAGAACGACTGCTCCTTTCTTCCTGGTCCCTCGCCCGAGCCCTCAGCGTCCACTGTGTTTGCTGGCCTCTCCTGAGCACTGTCTGGTGTTTGAAACTCAAGCCTCGAGGATCTAATCCGGGTCTGCACTTGGATCAGTGTCAGAAGCCAGGGAGGGAGGGACATTGGGCTAATTAGCATCCCGGGCAGGAGGGCTGGGGCCCCGACAGGGCCTCCGAGGGGACGGAGCGGGAGAACAGTCCTCTGCCTGGAGTGGTTTTGGGAGGCCAGGAAAGGCTTTAAAAAACAGAAAGTGTTTGAGCTATGTCTTTAAGGGTGGAGAGGGAAAGACAGGGAGAGCATGGGATGGCAGGGGTGGGGGGTTTGG